TTGAAATTAAAAAAAATAAAAAATAATCAAAACTTAGTTTTTTTAAATATCCATTCAACGTTAATTCTGATTAAACAAAATGTTGTCAAAAATATACTTATTATTAAACATATTTATATTAAAAACAAATTATATACAAATAATAGAAACTAGTTTTACTTGAATCAGTAAATTCGACTGACTTTGTCCGTATAGTTTCAGTGTTAATAATACTGTAAGTACAATCTCAAAAATTATGGGGATAGTAAACTACTAACTCTGATTGTGAACACTTCTTATACACTACTTGCTATTTGATATACGTATTTTACAACAGGATGGTCATGTGGTTCCTGATTGGTCAACCGATTCTTTATAAATCTTGCATACTTGTAATAGTCCATGAGAATATTCATTGTGGCTTTAAACTTAGCGTATATATTTCAGCCATTTGTAAATAAAGTGGTTTGAAATTTCACATAGATATGTATTCCTTTAGCTATAGTAATATAGTAGTAGTAGTGTAGTAGTCTACAATCTAAGCGGCACTGTGTATGTGTGTGTGTGTCTCAGAAGCCGCCGATATCTACACATCTTATCTCGACAGGGAAAATTATATTTTTCCTTTTCATCTTTCTTTCTTTTTTCCTTAATGCGAAGTAAGCGTAATAAATTTTCTTTTTCTTTAGAGTACTTTATATTAATTTTATAAAAATTAATATAATATATTGTTAATGCTGGCTTTTGACAATTTGTTCTTTAAGAAGTAAAGTACTTTGCCTTTGTTCTGGTGGAAGCATGTCAATTTGTTCGTTCGATAAAAGTAATACTTTACTTAGATATAAATTCTGACTATAATTAGAATTAAATTGATATTTTGATACATATAGAAATATTTTTTGTTGTGTATCATTGAGAGAGTTTGCTTTTTACATACCTTTTCTTTATTCAACGCACTGTTTGGTATAATACCTGCTGGCGACATTCCCACCATAAGTTTGGAAGTAGGAGTATTTGTAGATGTGGTAAGAGCGGTGGTAGAAGGTAAACCGTTATTCGTATTTGTAACAACCACAGGTAGTGGTGGAACTGTAAAATCTGCTACTATATGATAGGACATGCTTGTTAAGATAGAAGGTTCTACTGGTACAGGAGCTGTAAGATCATCACATGTATATAGATATGTATATAGATATTTATTTATAAAATCTCTTGCATATATTGATTTAAATATTTATATAAAAAACTTACGAGTAGGTTTAGCGATTACTGGATCAATGGACATACGAGGATTTCTTGGATCYCTTGGATTTCTACCAAATCCATTAACTCTTAGATCACGGTAAAAGCTAAAAAGTYATAAAAGATTAAATTAATATAATWAAWRAGAATTATTAGGTAATWATTATTTRAAAACATTAAYAATACCTCTCAACTCCTTCTACTACAGAAAGGTTGCTGCAAAAAATAATATATATTTGAATATATTGTTTAATTAATACAAATGATAATTGAGTATTGATAATATACTAACTTATCTGGTAGAGTAAAAGTAGTAGGAGATACCCTAGGGTCAGCAGTAGCAATTCTAATTGGTGGTACGGTAACTGGAATTGTTTGAGTTTGCGGAGGTCCTCTTGAAGATTGATCTAATCTTGCTAAACGCGGATCGATCTGTTTATCCAATGTTCGAAGATCTACATCTTGATCTAAAGATATAAATTAATTGTCTTGAATTTATTTATTCCTAATTATACTGAATATCTTAATTAATTGCAGTAATATCTTCAAAAAGAGGTTCAGAAGGAATAGCAACTACTGGTGAAGGTCTTGCTGCTGTCGATGGTTCTTTGATACGAGGTGGAATTTCATGTACCATTGGCTTTTCTGAAGATTTCAAAACGCTTAGGTTTGGATTAGCTTTACGTAACATACTAACTGGAATTGTTTGGGTTTGCAGTGGTCCTCTTGAAGATTGATCTAATTTTGCTAAACGCGGATCGATCTGTTTATCGAATGATCTGTTAGGCCCAACGTGAACTATACCTGCTTGAATGTACTCTCTTGATCCCTTGGAAAACCTGTTTAAACCTGCTAGGCCTAGTAGATAAAATCTACACCTGCGCTGGATACCGATCTAAGAAGTTTCCATTTCTATTTTTCACGTCGCACATAAAATGTGGAATTTTAGGCAATCCCCCACTGCACCGTGGGAACACCAATAAGAAACCCTTAACCTATGAAAAAACGCTCTTCTTCTAGAACATTCCTTGTTCCGATTTCCCTTAAAAGGGGCTCCCTCGRCACCYGAAAYACTCTTCTATCCTGGCCGTTACGTTTGTAAGTTGTTTGTATCCGAACGTGAATCCGTTTTAAATAAAAGTTATTCTTTCCAAAACTTAGAAATCCTTGTTTTTAATACAATTACAAGAATTCAATAGGCCGAATTCTTACGTTATCCGAAAATCAACGCGAATTTAACTTCACGCGAACATTTCCGCGTAACAGTTCGATAGCAAGCATAAAAGCGGCGAGTCGTGACAAGTTCTTGGAAAAGATTAGGCGTCGTTAATGGCCTTCGCCGGACGTCGACCCTTTGTCGGGTTATATAGTGTCGTACCTTCCTTTTTCTTCCACTTTATATATATATATACCTTGTGTGTTCGTAAATCTTAAGTATCGTTAAACGATACAATCTAATCACAAATAGTTCGATATCTTTTTCCCCACAAAAAAAAACTTAAGAAAACTTCGTCAAATGTCGGCCACCATTTTGAATTGGACACAAGTGGCCGCCTCCTGCCGGCGCCATTTTGGTACCCGTCTATTAGCCGAACGCTAATACGAGAGTCAAAACAATAATCTGTTCTAATATTAGCATTTTATTTTCCTATGATTTAATTATCAAAAATATTTCATCAATATAATAATAAAAAGTTTATTGAGAGAAATTGATTAAAGTACACAACGAACTAAATGGCAAATGCAAATGCGATTAAATTTTTGAAGAGGAGTCCTGGGGAATATGTGAGAAAGCGCATGCGCTAATATGTTCTTTTGTCTTTTCTAACCCAAAAGAAAAAACATTTACAACTCGTATAAACGGTAAAACGTCGGAATCACGGTTTGTTGTAGAGAAAAAAGTTAGAACATTAAAAAAAAAAAAAAAAAAGAAGAAATGTAAGTACGTAAATCCTTTTACGGGTACCTTTGACGGTACACGGTAGAGTGCATGAACATGATAATAATAATTGTATGTTAGGTATATTACTGTTTATCATTTATTTTATTTCATTTTATTTTATTTTATTTTATTTTATTTTATTTTATTTCATTTTATTTTATTTTATTTTATTTTATTTTATTTTAGGTTCTTTCAAGTTTTTATTGACAGAAAAAAGAGAATATTGTTCTATTAGGATCATTTTTATTAATTCAAATAACTTTTCTAAATTGTGTAAATATTTTTAAAAAAATTTTATATTTAATTAGGAATAAAAATAATTAGTTAGTAACCTAATAATAAATATACTAGGTATATTACTGTATATTTATTTTATTTTATTTTATATTATTTTTTGTTCTATTAAATTTTTATTAAAAAAAAAAAAAAAAAAATAGAAGGTTATCCTACTATGAATATTCCATTGATTCAAATACCTTTCTTAAATCGTAGTAAATATCTTAAAAAAATTTTATATTTCCTTAGAAATAAGAAAAAAAATTAATTATCAAAATATTAATAATTATATTAGATATATTACTGTATACCATTAATTTCTTTTTATATTATTTATCCTTCTTTAAACATTTTATTGAATAAAATAGAAATAGAACTTTGTCCTACTAAAAATATTTGAATAAATCCTACAAATTTTATCAATTATATCCAATAATATAACAAATCAAAAATAATATTAAAAACAAGATCTTGTTTTCTCTAAAAAAAAAACCTAGAGAAAAAAAAACAATTCATTACGAGCATAATAATAATTATATTAGGTATGGTACCGTGTACCATATTTCTTTCCGAAATCCCCTTCTTAATTTTTTCTTTTCTTATTTCTTTTTTCGCCTTTTTATTGAAAGAAAGAGAGAGAGAGAGAAGTTAGCAGCAAATTGGAACCTCCCGTTGTCCTTCCTTCCAGTAATTGGCAAGAGATACAACTGGACGTTTTTCTCAGTCCGGCCCTGATCCGTAATTGCGTTTGATCCGACGAACGAACACGCTGCATACATGTTGCATAGACTGTTACGAGTAAAGTATCCATCTTTGATGACTCTAAGACCCGATCGAGAATTTTCTAAACGTTTCTTCTCTCTTTTCTTCTTCCTCTTCTTCTTCTTCTTTTCTAGTGTTATTAACCCCCATCTTATGTCGAAGTTATGTAATCATAGATTCTCACCACGAAAGAAATAAACATTTTTTATTGTTTTATTTTTATTTTTATTTTTATATTATGTAACCGTAATTAAAGGAATTACATGCGACGATTTTTTTAAATAAACGCTCATTCGAGGTTTTGCAACATGGAAAATTGAGGATGAGGTTCAAATATTGAAAAGGAAAAAAAAATAAGGATAAAAAAAAAGGAGGGTGAAGAAAGAAAGAAACAGATAAACGAAGATAGAAAACTAGAAAGAGAGAGAGACAGAAAGAGAGAAAGAGAAAAGATTTAGCCGGAAGTTAGTGGCCGTTGTTGCACCCTGTCATCTCACGGTTCGTAAAAGCTGCTCCTTTTTCACTTCTTTTATCCTCTCTCTCATTCTATCTATTTGGTTGCTTATTTCTTTACTTTCGTATTGCAGAGCTCGCTGACAGGTAAAGGTAAAGATGAGAAGGGCTGGCGATCGGGTGCGGTCCATCCGACCGGATATAATTGCTCTCGTCGTTGATTGACTCTCCTGGCTGAGTTTCTTTTGTGAAAGAACTCACGCCGCACGGTAGTAGACATAGACAAATATTTTATTTTCTTTTTTTTTATCCCTATTTATTTCAACATCTTTTTGTCTTTATTTATTCACTTATTATTTTGAAATATTTGAAACAAGATATAAACTAACCCTTTTTAATGTTATGAGCGCATATATGCGTCCAACGAGTAGTAGACATAAACAAATATCTTTATTTATTCACCTATGATTTCGAAATATTAGGGGGACCGGAAAGTAATGTCGTTTCTGCGCATGCCAATACTTGATTGTCATTTGTCAGCTCATTGTTTGGTTCAGAGGCGTACCAAAGACATTGTGAGGTTATAGTGATTTCTTTACTTATAGAGAATTGAATTAAAATTTTTTTTTGTAATTTTGGGTAAAATGGCCAGCCAAATACCAGAAGAGGTACACATCCAGCATTGCATGCTCTTTGAGTTTCGCAAGGGAAATAACGCAACAGTTGCTACCAAAAACATTTGCGATGTTTATCCAAATGCACTGGACATTCGTAAATGCCAAAGGTGGTTTTCCAAGTTCAAATCGGGTAATTTTGATCTTTCCGACTCGTATCGATCAGGAAGACCATCAGCGTTAGACAACGACGTGTTAAGGGCGGAAGTGGAAGCAAATCCGTGTCAGACGATCGAGGAATTGTCAAACAGTCTCAACCAACCTTGGTCGACCATCCAAGAACATTTGAAGCAGATTGGGAAAGTAAGCAGAGCAGGTGTTTGGGTCCCGCATAATCTGTCCGAACAGAATAAGGCTAACCGATCAATCACATGCAACTTATTGCTTCAACGACACAACACAGAAGCGTTTTTTGATCGCTTAATCACAGGAGATGAGAAATGGGTCCTGTATGATAACCCAAAACGCAAAAGGCAGTGGCTCTCTCCAAATGAAATCCCTCGGAGTACTGCTAAGCCAGGTTTACACCCCAAAAAAGCGCTTTTGTGTGTTTGGTGGAGTATTCGCGGCATTGTTCATTTTGAATTACTGAAACCTGGACAAACTGTTACTGCAGACCTCTACAGCGAACAATTGCAGCGAGTCAATCAATCTTTAATTGAAAAGTGGCCAGCGATTGTCAACCGAAAAGGCGTCATTCTCCAACATGACAATGCAAGACCGCACTGCGCAAGGCGAACTCTAGAAAAAATTAATGAATTGGGGTGGGAGGTGCTGCCTCATCCGCCATATTCGCCCGATGTTGCTCCATCGGATTTCCACTTATTCCGAGCGCTGCAACACTTTTTAAGTGGCAAAACATTTGCAAATTTGGATGATATCCAAAATGCCATCTCTAGATATTTTGCCGAAAAACCAATTAATTTTTATCGATCAGGGATTGAAAATTTACTCACTAGATGGCAAAAGGTTATTGACAATGATGGGGAATACATCATTGATTAAAAATAAAGACTCGTTAAAAATGTATGTGTTTGTATTTAGCGTAAGAAAACGACATTACTTTCCGGTCCCCCTAATA